TGCCATGGAACTTTTACAGAAACCTACATCAGCCTTTTTCCTAGAAAACTAAGTCACAAATTAATGTTTGAATTAAACTAGAATGAAGACTTAACATGAGGAGGGAATGTTGGAGTCCATTATGTTAGTGTCCTCTGAGAGGAAAGTGTCCAACTTTGACACCAGGAGTCACCTCAAGCTAGGTTCCTATGGGAAGAGTCCTGACAGCACTTAAACTTAAGTGCAATTATTTCAATAGTAATGAGTCCCACACATTGCAAGACATGCGTAATGTGGACTATGTATAAGCCTTGTTCTAGCTACAATTCAGGTTAGTGCACTTAAAGGTACAGAATTTCAGCTTCATATTTGAGAAGATTTACAGATTTGTTACACTTGCTGTAACTTGTCTCAGGCTGTTAGAGGATTGTTGAGCTTCCAGCAGCTTCTCAGGGTTGCCATTAGAAGTGTTATTATTCAGTGGTACTAAGCAAGTCATCTTAGATGAATGTGACGGGTAAGAACTATGCTTACTTTGGTATCCCTCACCTGGGAAGAGCCTTATGTTAGCTCAAGACCATAGAAGGCCCAATGGTTTACACCTTTTGTACATCAGCAGTTGGACAGTCACAAAGAAAAGCCCCATTTATGAAGCTTTGCCTAGGTAGTTTGTGTAACAGATTCCTCCTTATACACAGAGATTTAATGGGAAAGCTGGATGAGCTAGTTTCCTTCCAAGGCATTCGCTGACATGCAGCTCAGAACAGTATCACCTTTGAAATGGTCTTCAACACTGAACACAAGGCAAAGCCAGGCTCTTTGCCAGCCCTACCAGTCTTTTGCTAGCCTCCACTGCAGCATTCATCTGTACCAGGGAACCAATCAAAACTACTTATCCATCTTTAAAAACCATGGCTTCTAGACAATGGAAGTTGCTAATGCAGTTTCCCCTAACTAGGCTTGAGAGGGATTGTGCCATGCCCTCCTGTAGCCACAGCTATAGATTTGCTATGGTCCCATGAAGTATATTACACTGCAAGGATACACTGTTCCTGCAGCAGTTCTAAAGAGTGGCCCAACTTGATGATCACTTTAGATAAGCTATTACCAGCAGGACAGTGGGGTGGGAGGAGGTATTGTTTCATATTCTCTGTGTGTATATAAAGTCTGCTGCAGTTTCCACGGTATGCATCCGATGAAGTGAGCTGTAGCTCACGAAAGCTCATGCTCAAATAAATTGGTTAGTCTCTAAGGTGCCACAAGTACTCCTTTTCATTTGGCAATGTTAACCAGTTAAAGTATCATAGGCTACCAACTTAACTGAGATAAACCCAGACAACCCAGGATGACCACAACCCATGCATGCTGGACAGGAACACCACCGCTGTGATAGCGTGCTCTATCAGAGGGGAGTCTTTTCCAAATGTGTGGCCAGGTAAAGTAGCATGGGCCATGCAGTGACATGAAGCACGGTCTCAGAAAGCCAATGGGGAGCTGGACCCATCCTGGGTTCCTGAGTCATGTACAGACGTGTCCACTCCTACAGCAAGGGACAGTTACGGCTCAAGTCCCCTTAAGCAATGCAAGGAACAGTCTATTTCTGTGGGGCTTAGGAACCTAGTAGGGTACCCACCTTCCTGGTGGACCTAAGTTTCAGGCCCTTCTCACTTTCCACCCCATCACTTCAGAGAGCAAGCAGGGCAGGTTGTGTTCATGTTGTACTGCCCTGAACAACAAAACACTGCCTCCAAGGACAGCAGAAAACTCCCTGCTCTCTCCTTGTGGGCAGAGCTCAGAAAGCAGGCAACATACAACATGACAAGCCGAGGAACAGAAAATGAATCTGTTGCTTCATGCAGCAACATGGCAAGGATACAAGTTGTCGAGCAGTTCTCATGGCTGCACAGTTGTATCAGGTGATAGCATGTTTTACAACCCACTCCTCAGACTAGCAGATGAGGGAAGCATGTTGGATGGAACCCCAAGTGTGCAGAGACCTACAGAGCATTGCTGTGCTTTCTACACCCACTACCTGAGGTCCTCTTCAGTAATCTTATCAAAAAGAGTAAACTTCATCTTCTGAGTCAAGGGCAGCTTGAGAGGAATGCCAGCTTTGGTCTGAATGCTGCTGAGAGCCACATTTAAACAGAATAAATGCAAGCATGGGCCAACAGTGACAAGGGAAGTTATTTAGGTACTGAGTCACCAATGTGTCACCTGCTGCCTGAGGCTTTTTGATTTATTAATTGATTCTGCCAATATTGGTGAATTGTCTTTAAACCCGGAGTTTCTTCTTGTTTAGAGTATTCCTGTTATCAGATTAATGCTAGATGTCTATATGACCTGCAGATAAGGGCCTGGTGGTAAGGGAGAACCTATTCCCCCAACGGTGGCCCAAAACCTGGCTAGAACCCAACTGTATTTTGTTTTCTCCAGTAAAAGTGCTGTTAACAGGTCTCATGCATATCACTTCAACCAGGCCATCTGCCAGGGCAGGATTGGTTATTCCCAGGAATAAAATGCAGTGTTAGTTTCCAAAGACTGGGCCCATCCACGGTTCTGAGGCCCAATACAGTTAGTAGATTTCTAGAATTCAAGTCACACAAGTTAACCAATATGAAGCAGCAGCAGCTGGACGGCAGCAACTGCTCTTTCAAGTTTAGGTAGGGACAAGCTGTATGACCTACAGGGTCTCTTCACCACAACCCTTTCTTTATGATTTCTATGACAACCAGGAGAACTCTGTAGTACTTCACCTGTACATAAGTGTACTCTGATTTCTCCTACCCTGAAGAGCTTTCAAACATCCATTTCAGGATTTCTGTAGCATCCCTTTCCTGTAGATTTCCCTTCCCTTTCTGGATTAGGGAACATTTGAAATTCAACCAAGGAGGGACAGTTTGGTTTTCAGGACAGGCCATTTACCTGAGGACACTGCTCTGTCCTGGTAGAGAAAATTACACTTTCCTTCCCCTTGTGGCATATTTAAGGGGAGGAATAGACTACACGGTATCTGAATCTGCACTATTCGTGTGTTTATAGGATGGGAGAAAGTAGGCACTACATAGACTTGGTCACAATCAATAAATAGTGCACTTGTTCACACAGAAGTCATACAAGGCCTGGGAGCCGGTTATTGATTAATTCTAGTCCTGTGTCTGCCACTAACTTTGTGTCACCTTGAGTGAAACCTGTTTTTATGAAGTGGGTACACACATCTGAGAGGTAAGTTATGGCTTAGTGAGCGTTTAAGGAAAGGGGTCAGTGCTTTGCCACTTCATTCAAGTTAGACCAACAGAGTCTACTATAGAATGGCTTATGCAATCATCATAGGCGCAAAACTTAACTTTTTTGAAATGCTTTGTACAACTACTTTGCTAACTAGAGAGACTGAACAGTATGGAAGTGAATTTGCTATTCAGTGCTGACATCTGGTGGCTACAATGGGTAGCCATCTGAGGGAGAACCTGAGTGGCTACCCCGGGATCCACTCAAATTTGGAGCCCACATTGAAAATAATCTATTTTTAAGGCAGCAGTTAGATGTTTTTGGAAGACTTAAAAAAACTTCTTTGACCCCGAAATAAAGCTTCGACCGGGGTAGTAAGGAGAGTGTTGACTTGCAGAGAGCCGAGTTAAGACTGTTTCTTCATTCATCCACCATTGGGATGATGATCTATATAGAGATTAGCACTAGCAACTCAATGGAATGAGCTCGATACACTGCTGTAGAAACCTGATTTAAGCCTTCTGCAGAAGCCGAAGTCAGCAGGGAACACGGCAGGCAGCAGGGAACTACAGAAGGGGAGTTTAATGTAACTAGGACATGGACTGAAGCAGGGTGATTGGGGAAAAGATTTATCTATTTATGTTTTAATCATCATGTTAGCCACTAAGTATTTTATTTAAAATACGAAAGACACCCACGCAAGGTGGGCTAGGCATGGGAACTACAGCCACGTGATTTTCCGTTTTAGCGCCATAGCCTGAGCACACGTACACGAGACAAGAACTGGATTTGGGAGAACGCTTGAAAGTTTCCCCCGCATCTGCACGCTGGCTTTACGTGGCCATTTCAGAGCCAGGAGCTAAACGAGGTTATCGCTTAGCCCAGCGCAGGGAGCGGAGCTTCCCCTCCTCCTTCTCCAGAGGGAGATGGTGTTTGAGTCGAGTGCCCCCCGCTTCTGCCGCGCACGTCTTGCCTCCGAGTTGGCTTTTTCCTGAGGCGGCTGCCGGGGGGGGGGGGGGGGGCGGCGGCCTCGCCTCGTGCGGGCGGCCGACAGCAGCCACCTGGCCGCTGCCCGTGGCGCCCCGCAGCAGGAGCGCGCCTGGCTTAGCGCTCGGCGGGCCTTTCCGCCGCCGCGCAGGCCGGAGCAAATCTCCGGCCCGCTAGAGGAGGGGCAGGACCCGGCTCAGGCGCCCGGCGCAGGCCAGTCCAGCCAGGTTAGGAGGCGGCGGGCGCTGCTCTGGACGGAGCCCGTCGGGGCGGGCTGCAGCGGGCTCTGGGCGCCAGCCAGCAGTTCGGGGCAGGGGAGGGCGCGGCTCGAATAACCTGCTGAAAGGAGGCAGCTGGGTCAGAGTCGGCAGCTCCTGCCAAGGCAGCCGGAGAGCGCTTCCTGCCAGCGCGGGACTGGGAGCCTCGCAACATATGGAGCCGCTTTGGGTAATTGAATGCAGGGGGTGAAGTGAAGCAACCAGCCCTCCCTTCCCTTCCCCTCCCCCCGAGCCCGCTTCCAGGGGGCTGGACACCAAGAGCCCGCCCCGACCACAGCCTCTGCTCCCCCAGCGGGGGGAGCCGAGCGCCAGACTGCGCCCGGCTCTAGCCCGGGGGGCTTTGGAGCGTATAAGAGGGCTGACCCTCCCCAGAGGAGTTGGGGGGCGGGGGAGGAGATTGCCCAGCTCCTGTTCCCCCACGGCACATGCACCCCGCGGCACAGCACGCCAGCGATCGGGCACAGCAGATACTCCCCCCTCCCCCCCAGGCCAGCATCCCACCAACCCTCCCAGCCGCCTCGGACTCACCGAGCACGCTGCCTGCAAGAAGAGGGCTAACAGCCACACTGCTGACACGTTTACCATCCTCCCTCCTTGGCGGGCGCTCCCGGGGTCTCCGCTTCACGTGCTCGCTCAGCCGCCCGCAGCTGCAAGGAGCTGACCTAGCCCAGCTCTGGCTTCTAATACGGCCGATGCAACAACCTTCACCTATCACCATTCACCGCCCTCTTCCGCAGCCCCGCCCCCTCCGGCACCGCTCTCAGGGCGAGCGCCACCCACTCCTGCCACGCCCCTCCTCTCTCGCCTTCACCACCTTTAAGCAATCAGCGCCTAATAGCGCTTCCTCAAGGGCTGTTTCCTAACGAAATCACTGCCTCATCATTACCTGCTTCACCTACGCAAGGTCTTACTCAACCCTCTGATTTCACACGTCCTTTTAGCTGCGGGCAATCGGCGTTTGCATTGTTCTCCCAGTTAGCCTGTTATTTCATTCCCAGCTTTACTTTGCATAAGAATAGTTTCTTCCCCAAACATTTCCATTCTCCAGATACAAAAACAAACGCACCCAGTCTCCCAGACCCGGTCTGGAAAATCTCCAGCACCCTCCAGCGTCCCCCCCCCTTTTTTTTAAATGCTATACTAGTGAATATTTTTAAAAAGCTGACACATGGTAGCAATAGGGAAGCAAAACCTGAACAACAGACTAATGCAAGCGATGGAGGGAAATTACCTAGTGAAGCCCTGTGTGGCTTAAAAGCTTGTCTGTCTCACCAACAGAAGTTGGTCTAATAAAATATATTACCTCCTTCCTCCCCCTTAAAATGTGCATTCTGATTCTTGAATCTTGCATTTCCTGCTTAAGAACGCGGAGGTGAATTTAATCATTCTTTTACCATATGATGTTTTAATTTAATTATTTATTTTCGCCGCAACTTCCCCCTCCCCCCTTAGATCTAATTGTGAACAGTCATTATGTATGGTCGCGACGCTCCCACATCATGTGATCCAATGATATTACAAACCCACTGAACTGTAATCATTTTCTTTTCTCCTGCAAAAAGGGAGAGCCACTACTGCATTGTTGTTTACTAGTGAGACAATGGGTGAAGTAATCTCTTTTATTGAACCAACTTCTGCTGGTGAGAGAGACAAGTTTTCCAGCTCACATAGAACTCTTCATTAAGTCATGTTTTTATACAGTGCTTTCTCCAGGGCTACCTGTTGCCTTTCACTGTTTGCCTGGGACAGTCTTCTCTCACCGTCCTATGAAGTGGGCTGTAGCTCAGGAAAGCTTATGCTCAAATAAAATTGTTAGTCTCTAAGGTGCTATAAGTCCTTTTCTTTTTGCAGATACAGACTAACACGGCTGCTACTCTGAAACCGGTCTTTTCATTAGGTAGTCATTTTAGGTAGTCTCATCAGTTTGATTTATTTTAAACTATGCTGCTGCACTTTGTGGTCTTAATACATTTTAAAATTGTGCTTAAATAATAAAATCATACTAGATTTGTGACAAATGCCAGGTCAAAAACTATATTTAAAAAAGTATCTGGTCTGTGTAAGAAGAGAACTAACTGTACATTATTAAATATTAACTTTGACATCAAATTTATTTGGTCACTAATTGTACTGTTTGATTTTTATTTTATTGCACTTTTCTGAGCTTGGACAGTTAAAATAAAGTAAGTTTGGTTCCGGCAAACATTCCTGCACATGCTTAATCTTATTGTGTTTGCAGGACTGGACTCTGTCAGTTTCAGTTTGACAGGCTCAGTTGACAGTTTCAGTTAGTCAGTTTCAGTTGGTTTCCAGTCATTTTCCCTGTCAGGTTTACTGCACTGGTGCAGTGTTTCGTCATAAACATGGCAAGGGAATGTTTGTTTTCAAAAAGCCTATTTCCCATTTGAAATTTTTTTTTTAAATCATGAAAATATTTCCACTGGATTAAGCTTTTGTAAAAGCTTGTTTTTCCAAAACCTACTGTTGTGCTATGATGGTGTTTCTTTACAGAATACTTTTAACCTTCAGCTAAGAATCTTAAAGGAATTTACAAGGGGAGGGTCATATTCTGCTACTACTGAAGTTAACAACAAAACACTCATTGATCTTAAGGAGAGTAATTGGGTCCCACAACAACCACATTTTATATTACAGGAAGGTAAAGTGATGCTAAATGAGATGGTAGGGCAATACCACTGGGGAGGGGAATTCCTCATCCTTGCCATCCACAGCCCCCAGCATAGGAGGTGTGGATGAAGTGTAGCCAGGAAAAGGGGATGTGAAGGAAATATTGCTGTGAGCTGGGGATCCGGGGCTGGAGAAATTACCCTTGCAGCTGTGGGTGGCAGGTATCAAAGGCGGGGGGGTATCTGAGCCTCCAGAAACAGCCCTGCATTTCCCCACCTACGCTCCACCCCCAGACCCTCTCCTGCTTCCCACTGGCACTCTGTGGCTCTTCCCCTGTGGCTGGGGCCCTGGGCAGTGGGCTGCAGCTGGGGCTAGCGGGGGCTGGCCTGCACCCAGGGACTCCGGACAGCTGGAGGCGGAGTTCTGGGGCTGGGGACCATGCCACCCGGAGCTCCGGGGCTAGGGGCTGTACTGCCTGCCCGCTGCTCCAGAGTTGAGGGCCATGCTACCTGGCACTCTGGGGCTGGGGACCGCGCAGGGGGGCTCTGGACTTCAGCAGGGGAAAGGGGTGGGAAGGGTGGGACCTCAGGCAGAAGGGGTGGGCTGGGCTGGGGGCTAGTCTGCCTGAGCCTGAGGTTCACCTGCCACCCATGCCTGCAACAGCTTAGATCAGCTCTGAGGCTGATCTTCATAGAATATCAGGGTTGGAAGGGACCTCAGGAGGTCATCTAGTCCAACCCCCTGCTCAAAGCAGGACCAATCCCCAATTAAATCATCCCAGCCAGGGCTTTGTCAAGCCTGACCTTAAAAACTTCTAAGGAAGGAGATTCCACCACCTCCCTAGGTAACGCATTCCAGTGTTTCACCACCCTCATAGTGAAAAAGTTTTTCCTAATATCCAACCTAAATCTCCCCCACTGCAACTTGAGACCATTACTCCTTGTTCTGTCATCTGCTACCACTGAGAACAGTCTAGAGCCATCCTCTTTGGAACCCCCTTTCAGGTAGTTGAAAGCAGCTATCAAATCCCCCCTCATTCTTCTCTTCTGTAGACTAAACATCCCCAGTTCCCTCAGCCTCTCCTCATAACTCATGTGTTCCAGTCCCCTAATAATTTTTGTTGCCCTCCGCTGGACTCTTTCCAATTTTTCCACATCCTTCTTGTAGTGTGGGGTCCAAAACTGGACACAGTACTCCAGATGAGGCCTCACCAATGTCGAATAGAGGGGAACGATCATGCCCTTACTTATACATCCCAAAATGCCATTGGCCTTCTTGGCAACAAGGGCACACTGTTGACTCATATCCAGCTTCTCGTCCACTGTAACCCCTAGGTCCTTTTCTGCAGAACTGCTGCCGAGCCATTCGGTCATCAGATTTCCTTTGGCCCAATCCTCCAATTTGTCTAGGTCCCTCTATATCCTATCCCTACCCTCCAGCGTATCTACCTCTCCTCCCAGTTTAGTGTCATCTGCAAACTTGCTGAGGGTGCAATCCACACCTTCCTCCAGATCATTTATAAAGATATTGAACAAAACCAGCCCCAGGACCAACCCTTGGGGCACTCCACTTGATACCGGCTGCCAACTAGACATGGAGCCATTGATCACTACCCATTGAACCCGACAATCTAACCAGCTTCCTATCCACCTTATAGTCCATTCATCCAGCCCATACTTCTTTAACTTACTGGCAAGAATACTGTGGGAAACAGTGTCAAAAGCTTTGCTAAAGTCAAGGAACAACACGTCCACTGCTTTCCCTTCATCCACAGAACCAGTTATCTCATCATAGAAGGCAATTAGATTAGTCAGGCATGACTTGCCCTTGATGAATCCATGCTGACTGTTCCTTATCACTTTCCTCTCCTTTAAGTGCTTCAGAATTGATTCCTTGAGGACCTGCTCCATGATTTTTCCAGGGACCCAGGTGAGGCTGACTAGCCTGTAGTTCCCAGGATCCTCCTTCTTCCCTTTTTTAAAGATGGGCACTACATTAGCCTTTTTCCAGTCATCCGGGACTTCCCCTGATCGCCATGAGTTTTCAAAGATAATGGCCAATGGTTCTGCAATCACATCCGCCAACTCCTTTAGCACTCTGGGATGCAACGCATCCAGCCCCATGGACTTGTGCTCGTCCAGATTTTCTAAATAGTCCCGAACCACTTCTTTCTCTACAGAGGGCTGGTCACCTCCTCCCCATGCTGTGCTGCCCAGTGCAGTAGTCTGGGAGCTGACCTTGTTCGTGAAGACAGAGGCAACAAAAGCATTGAGTACATTAGCTTTTTCCACATCCTCTGTCACTAGGTTGCCTCCCTCATTCAGGAAGGGGCCCACACTTTCCTTGACTTTCTTCTTGTTGCTAACATACCTGAAGAAACCCTTCTTGTTACTCTTAACATCTCTCGCTAGCTGCAACTCCAGGTGTTATTTGGCCTTCCTGATATCACTCCTGCATGCCCGAGCAATATTTTTATACTCTTCCCTGGTCATTTGTCCAATCTTCCACTTCTTGGAAGCTTCTTTTCTGTGTTTAAGATCAGCAAGGATTTCACTGTTAAGCCAAGCTGGTCGCCTGCCATATTTACTATTCTTTCTACACATCGGGATGGTTTGTCCCTGTAACCTCAATAAGGACTCTTTAAAATACAGCCAGCTCCCCTGTACTCCTTTCCCCCTCATGATATTCTCCCAGGGGATCTTGCCCATCAGTTCCCTGAGGGAGTCAAAGTCTGCTTTTCTGAAGTCCAGGGTCCGTATTCTGCCTCTTTCCTTTCTTCCTTGTGTCAGGATCCTGAACTCGACCATCTCATGGTCACTGCCTCCCAGGTTCCCATCCACTTTAGCTTCCCCTACTAGTTCTTCCCGGTTTGTGAGCAGCAGGTCAAGAAGAGCTCTGCCCCTAGTTGGTTCCTCCAGCACTTGCACCAGGAAATTGTCCCCTACATTTTCCAAAAACTTCCTGGATTGTCTGTGCACTGCTGTATTGCTCTCCCAGCAGATATCAGGGTGATTGAAGTCTCCCATGAGAACTAGGGCCTGCGATCTAGTAACTTCTGCGAGTTGCCGGAAGAAAGCCTCGTCCATCTC